AAGTATGAATGCAGAGAGGATGATTCTCTTTTTTGTTGTTGTTGTTTGTTAATGCTCACCTGAGGATATTTTTTTTCTATTGATCTATAGAAAGAGTGGAAGGAAAGGAGTGAGGGGGAGAGAGAAAATTGATGTGAGAGAGACACATTGATTGGTTGCCTTGTGCACTCACCCTTTCCAGGCTGAAATTGAACCTGCAACCCAGATACATACATGTCCTTGGCCTGGGAATCAAACCCATGACCCTTCAGTGCACAGGTCAATGCTCTGATCACTGAGAAACACAGGCCAGGGCAGAGGGTGATTCCTTTTTCATCTTGGTCTCCCAACTGATTCAGCCTTTCCAAGTAAAATGAAGATTGAGAGTTAATTTTTATTAGTCTTTGCTTTACTTGTGGCTTTGTTAAGGGACAAATACTATGTCTACATCCCTTCCCTACAAGTTCCTTCGGCATAAATTCTATTTACAGAATTCGTCCCAGTAATTTTTTAGCCCAGTTCCTTTAGTAGCTGCAAGAGATGGGGATTTCTTTTCTGTGGTTAAGGAGATGATACATAAGTCTGATAGATTCTCTTCAAGTCTGGATGGAAACACCTAACCCCTCACTTTCCCCACCACCAATTCAGTTATTGCTCATTTTGAAAAATAAAGAATTGACATTTATTTTAAACTGGCTGGCATATTTCAAAAGTGGTGCATGAGTTGCATGTATGAGTTAATGCTGCCAGCCCTGCTGGGGGAAGAGTTCTGCATGGTGCTGCTTTCCCATTTAGCCTCACCTAGCCTCCTCCCTCCCCCTTCAGCAGCCTAAAAAATAAAATTTCACAAACCCTTGAAAAATTAAGTAGATTAACTTTTTTTTTTTTTTAAAGCTTTATAGCAGGAACCCACATGGGTATGGATAAAAGGGGCTCCTGCTTGAAAGACTGTGGGCAGGCCCAAGAAGCTTATAATGCAAGGGTTGGGGTAGAGAACTGAGAATAGGAAGTCTCTGCGGAAGAGTGAGCGAGGACCAAGCCAGAGACTACAGGAACCTTTTTTCCCATCATTATTACATCTGAAAACATGTACTTTCTTTGCAACCTGTTTATGGCACTTTTATTAGTCCTTGAGAATGATCACTTCACTAGGTAGGTGGGGGAAATAAGACAGCAAAGGGGGAAAGAGTTATTCCTTGGCTCATTGCTGATAAGGGCAAAGTTAGGATTTGATTTCTTGCAAACAGGCTAGGTGGATATGAATTCTCCAGTTCAGGAGAAAGAGAAAGAGACTATGCCAAAGAACTGAAGTCTGAACACTCAACAAATACTATTACTAACTTACATTAGTTTTTATTCTGACACGGACTGAGAGCTTTTCTTTGTGAGTGATGCTTTTCTTTGTTCTTTTTTGAAGAGTGTGGCTAATGTTGCTTAATGTTTGGTTAGTCGTAGTTTTAAAAGTGTAATGTGAGAAGTGGTTATTAGATAAATCTTGCAGATCACGCAAAAGGATCTATCTTAGTTTTCCCGTGCCCTCTCCCCTGAAACCGAGGCACTTTAGAATAAGTGACAAAACAATCCTCGTAATTAAACCAGATGTATAAAATAGAAAATTATACCCACCTGCAATTTTTAAAAAAGCATTGTTATTACAAAAGGATTTTACCATCCACCAAAGGAATCACTGCAGTTGTTTTTGAATAGCAAGTGACCTGTGTATATAAAATATGATTTTGTTCGTACCCAGGTTTTTAGGATCACATCTGTTGTTTAAGGTGGGTAAGAGAAAGAGAAGGTCAGGAAACACCTCCTGGCACCTTAGGCAGTATCAAATGAAGCATTCAGTTGGGCCTCCAACTCAGAAAACTGCTGAGTTCTACATCTGGTCATAAGAATTTATCTCCCTCCCACCGCACTTTCCTCCCCCTGCAATTTTCATCTCTCCTGTGCCCTGCACAACAGGCCCCTTTGCCAAGGATGAAGAGCCTGGATGTCAAATCCTTTCTCTGTCCTGGCAGGGAAGCGATTCTCTTTGTTTTCCGAGAAGCCCTTTTGCACTTGGGGAATTTTTTCTTGCCTCTTTTGGGAAGTTGTTTCATCATTTCCCAAAAATATACTGCACCTCTTGTTTAAACAGGGTGCCCTTTAAGAGCTTTGGAGCTTGAGGGGATATGGGAGTGTTGTGAAATCCTTTGTCTGCCCCTTGACTCTAGCAGGAATGCTGGCTGAATGCAGGCAGAACTCTTTGCATTTGCCAGGAGTGGAATACGGAGAAAGACTCCATGGGATGCAAGAGCTGGGTGGAGTCTTTTTAAACATTTAGTCAGTCCATATTGTAAGAGGTTATCAGCCCTTTTGGACACTGGCTACATCAGATATTTGTCCCATGCCTTAAATGTGCCCAGGCTGGGAAGGGTGGGTTCTCTGCCCTTTGAGATGCTCATGGTACCCTGAAGGATCTGGACCAGCTCACATGTGGCCACAGTGGATAAATGATATGTAACTGTGTGACCATGGATACTTAGTTCAGAGTTATAAATTCTTATAGAAGAGAGCATGAAGATTAGGCCTTGCATTATGTGTTAGGTTTGCGTTCACAGAGGAAAAAGTGGAGGATATTGAGAGGGGAAAGAAGGAGTTGAAAAGAGCCAGAAGGCTCATCTCAGGTCGTAATCATGAGTGAGTGAAGTCTGTGGGGGTAGCCTACTGGGACTTGATGGAGAAATGCAACAAGTCAAAAGAGCCTTGCATATCCAGCAGAAACGTTTTTAGACTTGTAGGAAGTCACTGACATCCTTCTGACAAGGGAGTGTCATTAGGGAAAATGTATTTTGAAGGAACATTAGCCTACCAGAGTAAATTGGATTTGCTTCCAGGTGTACAGAAAGAGGGAGCCCTACTCCATCCATAGTTCTTGAAAGGAAATTGTGATGTTAGGTACTGGTGGGAGGAATGGCTTGGTAGAAGGCTTCTTCTGTCTTGCATGAACATGGTTCCCATTATGTGTGGCCTATGGCTCTCTACAACACTCCCTCAACCCCCTCCCTGGGCAGGGCACAGCAACTCAGACTCTAAGATTGTTGTTGGCTGAGTAGGACCAGCCGTTGAATGCCACCCTGAGTAAAGCTTTGATCAGCCCCTCGTCAATGTGGAGGTGATATTTCCTGGTGAGTCCAATGGGCCCAAGCATAATAAGCAGTAGGTTCCAAACTTTCAGCTGGTGACTTTAGAATGTGATTGGCCAGTCACCACACCTAATCAGCAGTGGAAGAATGCTATTTCCAAAACCCTTGCCCATGCTCAAACTTATCACCTTCCCTGTGAACTATATCTCCTTAATAATTTTGAATAAGGAATTTGGATCATTTTAGGTTATTAGTAAAATCAAAGAAGACCGGTAGTATATCTATATACTTCTTAACGGAGTACCTAATTTAGAAAATAAACTTAGGTTCTATCATTGGGGTGTTATGCTTACCATAAGATCTATTAATTTCCAGTAGGAGAGAAAAATAAATGATTGCCATGGGAGGTAATGCCCAGGTACCGGAAAATTAATGACAATTTCAATACCAGTTGCTATGCTTAGGCCAGGCCTACCACTCTTGGTTGACCCACCCCAAACTCCCTGGCATAGATCCACAGCATAGCCAGTGCAAAACATAATGTTTGCAGCCATGGGTAGCAAGCAGTTCCTCTTTGGAAATCAGCCCAGCCTGTTGCCAGGCCAAGGGTATAGGCCATGCAGAGGCTTCACCGCTAGACTCTGCTTAAGGGTTTGGAGCCCCTGCACAGAGGAAGTGCTAGGGAGGAACATCTAGCTTGGAGCTTTGAATCTTCAGCTTTTGCCTCATGTCACTGCCTTTAAAGACCTGTAGTTTCTTTATCTTTTCCTGAAAGCTATAGGCCCCGATACTCTGTTCTAGATGGCTGGTAGGTAAACTAAACTCTTTCTGAGTTTTTGTTACAGTTGAGTAACAGGGTGGTTCCTAAAAGAGAGCGTGAGTTTCAGTGACTCTACCCACATTTGCAGAAAGCCCAGTGGTCTTTGTGTTTGTTTTTCTCTGTCCCTCTGAGAGATGAAGCTAGCTGAGAAGATACAAGGAATTGGTAAGGGGAGAAAGCAGCAGACACAGAATCAGCTGCTCTGGAACTTCTGTGTCATTTTGGGGAATATGCTTTCATTTGGTTTTGCAGAAGGGCTGTAAGTACAAATGGATTAGCTCTAGAAGACACTACCGTCTTGCACCCAATATGTGAGGCACACTGATTCTGTTTCCCATAGGCCAAGTTGCTCCCAGTTGGGGAAGGAACTATTGTTCTACCAACATTATTCTATTGTAAGATTTGGTTGGAGGCATCTGATTGCACAGGTGACAAGCCTTTTCCATCAACTAGATTTAGAGGCTGGGGAAACCCAGGATGAGCTGTCATCCTGAGTAACAGGCCTGTGGCAGGTGCTGACTAGCTTGACTTCCCTCGGTGCAATGCAAACCTCTGAGCCCTGGATGCAGTCCTGGCTTCTTTGTATAATGTACAGTAGGTGTGTGTTCGTTGCTAAGTGCCAAAGATCCTTTGTTCTGGACACATTCTTCATTTGTATGTGGGCCTATCCTATCTAATAAAAGAGAAATATGCAAATTGACCATCACTGCAACACATAAGATGGCTGCCCCCATGTAGACACAAGACGGCCACTACAAGATGGCCAGCAGGGGAGGGCAGTTGGGAGGACCAGGCCTGCAGGAAGGCGGTTGGGTGCGATCAAGCCTGCAGGGGAGAGCAATTAGGGGTGACCAGGCAGGCAGGGGAGGGCATTTAGGGGTGACCAGGCAGGCAGGGGAGGGCAGTTAGGAGCAATCAGGCTGACAGGGGAGTGGTTAGGGGGTGATCAGGCTGGCAGGCAAAAGCAATTAGGGGCAATCAGGAAGGCAGGCAAGCGAGCAGTTGGGAGCCAGCAGTACTGGATTGTGAGAGGGATAAATGGGAAGTCGGACATCCCTTGAGGGGTCCCAGATTGGAGAGAGTGCAGGCTGGGCTGAGGGACACCTCCCTCCCCCATGTACGAATTTCATGCACCGGGCCTCTAATTTAATATACTTTTTCTGGTTTCACCAAAATGATTCTGCATCTTTGGAACTAGGGGAGTGAGGAGGCAAGAAATACAGACTTGATAGTTCATGAGGTGGTTCTGAAGCAATACTGAGTAGTCAGCTTTTAAACATTTGTCTTAGGAACAACCTGTATTCTGATATGTTGTAAATGGATACCCCAGTCACCTTGTGTAATGAATTTTGACTTTTGTGTAGCAGCTGAGAAAACCTCTTGAGCAGTCTTGAGGTGTGGCTGCCTGCCAGCCTACAGCACACTCTGAGCAGTGTCCCCAGGGCCATCTGTAAGGCCATGGATGCTGGAGCAGTAACTTGAATTTTGGGGCCTTTATCTTGTAAGGATGAGTTGAACATGGGAAAATGACATTGCTGGTGGTAGTTGTAAGAAGGGTAGGTTTTCTAAAGTTGATTGAGGGAAAGATTTTGAAATTCAGTGAGCATGGGGAATCATTAGTGTCAGTTGAACACTTGCTGACTCACTAAGACAATAGCCCTGCACAGTTGTGAAGACAAAAAAAGACTTAAAGAATAATGTATAAAATGCCCAAATTATATTGTACAAGAGTGTATCTATAAAGCAAGGTATAATTAGGCATTTTACCATCTTGTTTGGATTTCTGAGAACATGACTTTCTTATATAAACCTATTATTTGATTTTGGGGGGCCTTTTCAGAGAAATGGGAGGACTGACTACCTATAACCAAGAGTTGTGCAAAAACAAAACCCTTTTTGTTAAGTGTGCAAGGCCTTTCCAAAACTGTGAGAGTCTGTTCTTTGGAATACATTCTGTGTTGACCTGGTGTGTGTGTGTGTGTGTGTGTGTGTGTGTGTGTGTCTCTCTCTCTCTCTCTCTCTCTCTCTCTCTCTCTCTTTTAATATATTTTATTGATTTTTCACAGAGAGGAATAGAGAGGAACAGATAGCCAGAAACATCGATGAGAGAGAAGCATCGATCAGCTGCCTCCTGCACACCCCTAACTGGGGATGTGCTCGCAACCAAGGTACATGCCCTTGACCGGAATCGAACCCGGGACCCCTCAGTCTGCAGACCAACGCTCTATCCACTGAACCAAACCGGTTTCGGCTTGACCTGGTCTCTTGATGTAGTAATGCCTTTCCCCTGCATTGTATTGTACTTATTTATATGGTAATTTCTGTCACTTTTCCATTTAGATACATTTTTAACCTATGATTTAAAGCTGTAGGGTGGGCTTCTGTTTAAAAGGCTAGGCTGCTCAAATATTGCTAGCCTTCTCTATCTGTTAAAGCCCCAAATTTGGGGAGATAAGAGAAAAAAAACCCACCAACAAACTAGCTCCTATATTATAAACTTCGTGTTTCTCAATCTCAGTCCCTAATTAGTGGATACAGAGTTGTTGTATGTTGGTGCTTTAAGCAACTTAAGTTTTTAAGGGGGGGGGGGGGGGGGCGGCGCGGGGAAATCCCCATACCAGGGTACCATTATAATAGGAAGAGAAAAAAACTCTTAATTATAGCAGTGTTGCAGGCTTCTCCCATGCTGGCTGGCCAAAGCATGGAGTTGCTAAGCATACAGTGTCTTTCATACTTGCATTACAACATGTTAATTAAGAGAATTCAGCTGTGGCACCAGATGGGGATGTCTGGCTTTGTGAATGATTGCAATTAGATGTTTTATTTTCTATTTTCTTTTTCCCCTTTCAACTTTGGTGGAATGCCTTTGAGTAGGGGCTTTTAGTCTTAGCAGTATAAATACTTTAATGTGCCTAATTATGTAATCATACACTTACACTCCTCTGTGTACACACATTATTTCATGGATTTTTATCCCCTTTTCTTACATGAAACATCCAGCCTGGAGTGTTTTTTGTTGTTGTTGTTGTTGTTTTGTGTGTGTGTGTGTGTGTGTGTGTGTGTGTGTGTGTTTGGTTGGTTTGGTGAAGCCAGACTTCGTGCATTGGGCAGGAAGAAGAGGAAGACCAGAGGAGTTTATTGATTTTCCTCTGGTTATATCTGCCCCTTTGCTCAAAAGCCTCACCACCGTGACCTCTTATGGGCAAGTCCTTTATCTCTCAAATTATTAGCATCTCAATAGCTTCCTAGTAAAATCAAGGTAATTTAAATAAAATTGGACTTTATAATACCATATCTTCCATTAATTGGCAACTGCAGTCTTTCAAAGTTATGTAGTGTTATTTTCCCCCAGTCCTCTGTTCCAGGCAGGCAGAGGGCATGAGCCTGGATATGAGAACTCATGCATGGAGGCACAATGGAACCTATTGATTTCCGGCATTCAGCTAGTGCAGAGAGGTCCTGTGACCCCAGCTGTTAGAATCAGCTGCTTTTTGAGATTCAGTCCTCCAGGGATAGGCCATCTGCTACCATGTGAGGGAACCCTGGGAAAACAAATTGTGCATAAGGTGTCTTTATATTTCTTTCCTCTGTTCCAATCTCTCCAGTTCTTTCTTGACCCCTTTCTCCTATATAAACTTTTTAATTTATTGATTTGAGAGAAAGAAACATTGATTTGTTGGTCCAGTTATTTGTGTATTCATTGGTTAATTTTTCTATGTGCCCTGACTGGGAATGGAACCTGCATGTTGGCATATGGGGATAACGCTCTTACCAACTGAGCTACCCAGCAAGAGCCACTCCTAGGCAAACTTCAGAAGCATGATGAATCTATCTATTCTTCCCCTGTCCCCAGGCAGGTTTCTTTAGCTGGATTAATATTATAGGATGGACTTTTACTTTCTTATAAATAACATGACTTTGCATTTTAATATTGGAAAGGTCTTTAAAATCTCAATTTATGAAAGAAGAAACCAAGATTTTTTATTCCTTATCCTTGTATTTAGGGCCCTCCTTGTTCTAGTGCCGACCTAATTTTCTAAATTTCCAGCTTTCTCCTTTTAAACCTTGAATCATTTGTTGGTTCCCATACACTTACCACCTTTTTTTGCTTCTCTGCCATTGCTCCTGTCCTTATCTTCTCTTTGCCTGTTCTCACTCTCCTTTATCATAGGCACAGTCTCATAGTCACTATCTTTTTTTTTATATATATATTTTTTATTTTGTACAGAGAGGAAGGGAGAGAGATAGAGAGTTGGAAACATCGATGAGAGTCATCAATCAGCTGCCTCTTGCACACCCCCTACTGGGGATATGCCCCCAACCAAGGTACATGCCCTTCACCGGAATTGAACCCGGGACCTTTCAGTCCCCAAGCTGACACTCTATCCATTGAGCCAAACCGGTTTCGGCGGTCACTGTCTTTTACATGGTCACAATCCTACTTCCCCTCAAAGTCTGATACATTGACACATTGCTGGTGCTCAATAGATAATTGGTAAACTAATTTTTATTAGGAAAGTGGAACTCAGAATAAGAATCAACACTTAATATACATTTTTTTAACTTTCTTCTGGGTAAAAGTTATTAAACCCATGTTTTGGAAGACAAAAGCTTACAGTATATTTTCTGTTCAGCTGAGTGACATTTGAACATGGTTATCTATTGTTACAGGAATGGGAAAGGCTGCATCATGCAACATCTTCACCAGGAATTTGTACTGACAGTCAAAAGTGGCTTGCCAGAGTTAAGAGTCCAAAGACAGAGAGAGGAAGGAAGAGTTGAGAGTTTACTGCTGACTGTAACCACATCGAGGCCCAAGTTTTAGTAATGTATTTGTTTTGAGGTTGCTCTGTTTAGTGATTAATGTATCTCAACAATATGCTAGAGCCAGGCTGATAAATACACAGGTTAAAATCAAAGATGAGCAAGTGTCTGGCCTGAGGGAAAGCAACTTAAGGGCCAAGTGCCCTGCTCTGGACCTCACAGCAGATTTATTTGGATTCCTGTTGTTTTTAAAGTTTCTTTAAAAAGCTTAAGTAAGGCTTTCTCAGAGAAAACTATGGGAAGAATTCACAGGAAGGGAGAGGCTCTTCCTTACTGAGTAGAGGAAAGGGATCTGCCAGGAGTACTCAGTGGCATGCAGCCCTTTGATTGACTTTCATTGCTCCATGTAGTCCAGATCTTTAGAAAGACCCAAATGTTGGAAGTAGGGAAGAGCAAAAAACAAACACGCACGCACACACACACGCACACACACACACCACCACCACCACCACCACCACCACCACCAACAACAACAAAACTAACCCTGGGTGGCTTTGACTCATCCCTGCCCTTGATCAGCTGATCATAACACAGGTTGATAAGTTCCCCTTCTAGGAGATTTCAAGGAGGAAACTAAGACGTGACAAGCTGCTTTTCCTGTGGTGGCTGCATGGGAAAGGGTGATTTAAGATGTGTGCTTTAAAGAGACAACCCCATCCCCCACAAGATGGAGGAGTAAGACTGTCCAGATCAGTGGCCTTTGTAACTTTTGACTGACCTTGCTCACTTGTCAGTGTTTCTTATCCTAGTTGTTTCAGAGGTGATAAAGGCAAGACCAAGACCCTTAGCCCTGGCAACTTCATTTTACATAGCCTTTCCCAAAATCCACATTTTCTCTCCCGTTTTATATTTCCTAGTCTCTGTGTCCTGGGGAGATCAGGTCCGATACAAGCACCCATAGAAAGTACAGGGATCACTTCATGGCATAGCTTAGTATCATGATCTGTTAGATATACCTTGTTTGTCACAAGGAGACCTAATCACATCTCTTCAGAAAATTCCATTTGGACCTTTACCCTTCAGTGACTGGTAAGTGTTTTTTAAACAGCTATGGTGTTTTGCTGGATTTAGGCTATCACTTCAGCAGATTTCTGCAACCATCTGTAACTAAAGTTTGCCAACTATTTCCTTTCATTCTTTGCAGCTGTGTAGGCTTTGGTGCAGAGCAGTGGCCTTTTGAGCACCTGGGAGAAGCAAAACACTGCCTAACTCACTTTTTGTTGGTTCGTGGCAGAGGTTATTTATTTTGGACTTTGGTAGAGAT